TAATAATTTATAAATTATCAAGGGTTCATGAGGGAGGGGGGAGCAGGGAGGGAGGGGAAAAATGAGAAGCTGATGCCAAGGGGCTTAGGTGGAGAGCAAATGTCTTGAGAATGAAGAGAGCAATGAATGTACAAATTTGCTTTACAATTGATGTATGTATGGATTGTGATAAAAGTTGTATGAGCCCCTAATAAAACGATAAAAAAAACACAAAATATAATTTTATCATTTTACTTCTTCTTTACTAATGTGGTACATAAAAAAATATCATTCCCAGCACAGACTTCTTTCAGTGACCTCAACTGACCTGTCCATAAGTCTTGGACTGAATAGTTTGTGGAGAAAGTATGTACATAATGATATTTCAGATCCTTTGTTTAAAAAAAATTAACAATCCCAAGATAGTGAGAGTGAGAGCATTAGACCAAATATGCAGCCTTTCTAATCACAGGGCCCTGTACAATTGCATGGGTTGCATGCTCATGCAGCTGTCCATGGTTATGGGGATAGCATCTTCTGAAATGTAAATTTCCTCTTTTTAACTCCCAATTTTTCTATTTCTTGCTCACTGTTTTAGATATTTGCCTAAACAATAGGAAACAGAGGAGTGTGTAGTATGGGGAGTCCCTGGCTCGTGACAGTTAATGTGCTTGGCCACTAAATGAAAGATTTGAAATTTAAGTCCTCTCTGAGATGCCTCTGAAGAAAGGCCTAGCAATCTCCTTTTGAAAAATCAGCTATTGAAAACTCGATGTAGCACAGTTCTATTCTGGGTCAACTGGACAGCAACTGGATTAGGGATTGCAGAGGTGGGGGAATCAGTAGTCTTGTGAGAATTCTTTAAGGGTAGAAAAATGGTTAACTCTTGTTGATACCAAGTCTGTTGGGAGACAAACTGTGCATCTTCAGAATAGGTATGGGCCCAAATAAGTGGATTCCTACCTTCTTAAATCTGTCTAAATAAATAAAGCCAAGGTTAAACTATGACTGGTTTTTCCTCAATGCAGCCATTTAACACCATCTGGCTAAGTAACATAAATTTCACCCAGATTTAAGTCTTGAATTGCCTGTCAGTTGTCTTTGATGCTGGGAAATCTTGTCTTTTTCTCTGCATATGAGGGTTATGCTCCTTTGAATGCTTTAGGGGATGAGCCTGAAGAGGAATTTATGAACTGGTATTGGACATATGGGCTAATATCGGACTTATGAACTTGGTCTGGACTGGGCTATTTTTTTTATTATACAATTACTCTTTTAGATAAAGTTCTTTCTTAAACACGAGTGTCCTGGATTTCTCTAGTCCATCCAGAGAAACACAAGCAGTGAAGCCGACTGCCATATTTTTCTCCTGCTCCAGGTTACAAGCCTTGAACTTTTGATTCACAGCTCAGCACGCGAACTATTGTGCCACCACCACGGTTTCTTGTGAGGACGATTAGTACAAACTCAAGCTCACTGCCCTCTAGCTGGATCCAATGCGATGGAGAGGGGGAGATAAAATGCACTGCTATTGAGTCAATTGACCCATAATGACCCTGTATATGGTTTGAGTCTATAAATCTTTATAGAAGCAGCTAGCCTCACTGTTCTCCTTTGGAGAGGCTGGTTGGTGGGTTTGAATCACCATCCTTGTGGTTAGTAGCTCTATGTCTAATCCACAGCACCCAGGGTTCCTTCACTTGGGGGAGACAGTGGTGTTAAAATCTCCCAGGCTCTGAGGGTCACTATTTGTGTCACAGGTAACTCAGTGGAGAAAATAATGGAATACTGTAACGAATGGAAGAGGTGTTTCGGAGCAAGTAATTAAACATAAAATATAATGTATATAAAACTATAGTTTGTTAGTCTAGTTACTAGTTCTCAGGGGAACAATTGAAATGTATCTGTGTGCAATGTCCATTGGGATTTCCAAAGCTTCTTACAAATACAGTTAGTATTTATTTAGTCAGCACTGAATTATCTTTCTCCTACTTTGTAAATCAAGTTTACATGCATGCCTACTGATTAAAAGTGTAAACGTATTATTGAACATATACAAAAGTCTGCATTTATAAAAAAAACTTGTCTTCAAATATCAACAGTCTTCTATCCATAAAGACTTCTATCCACAAACTGTGATGAGAACTAGATAATTTTTATTTTGAAAAGCATAAATGACAAAAGGCCTGTTTTTTCTCCACATATCCTAAATTTACGAATATATAGACTGAGAACGAGACGAATTATTGTTATTTACACCAGAGAGGTCAGAATACGCAAATGGCGTTATCTTATTTTAGGTTCAAACATTTTTTTTAAAGGCTTAAGTTATGTTTTGGGGGATAGAAAAGGCTTTTTTGATTTGCAATGGATCTTGAGAATCTTAATGGTTAATTATGCTTTCTCTCAGGTCTGTCCACACATAGGCTCTACTCTCCCAAGAAGACCCCAGAGCAATAAAATCTAACATTCTTTTTAATCTCCCTTAACAATTTTACATCGCTATCTCTTAAGGTACCGAACTACTGATGAAACACAGGTAGCACGAAAATTTGGCCCTGATGTGCCAACAGACCTTCGACAGTAGGGAGCCCTTGTGGTCAGCAAGCCAGACCCCGCGGGCAACTCTTCATTTCCTCCGGCCTGGGGTGTACAGGCGGGGGCGGGCTGTCAGAGGACTTGCACCCCTCATTCTCGGCTCAGGCAAGGGGAGGCTGCGAGCGCAGCCTGGGCTTAGGGCGGCGCCTGGCCTCGGGGCGTGGGGCCGGCAGCTGCTCCCCGAGCGCGATTCTCGCGGAGGCCATTATTTCCAGCTGTGCCAAAAGTCTGTCCTTCCGAGCGCTGAGACCCAGCCGTGCGCCGCCTCTCGGTCGCGCTACCCTTCCCCAGGCCTTGTGGGGTTCGAGACCCCTGGAACGCAAGACGACCTGAACCGTGCTCTAGCCGACCCCGGGCCCTTGAGCTCCCCGACAGGCAAAGATCGCCCACAACGTCCACGCCCCGCGTCCGCGCTCGCAGCGGGCGGTGCCGGACCTCGCCCTTCCCCACTCTCCCCTCCCCCTCTGCAGCCCGCCGCGACTCCCGAGGTGACACGGTTCGGACCCTCCATTCTCTGTCCGAGTGTATTTAACTAGCACAACCTAACCCACTAGTCCCTCCCGGTGACAACCCTTCCTCCGACAGACGCGCCCAGCAGCCAACCACAGACCAGGGCTGGCTTTCATCCCCCTCCCCGGTCGGTGGCGGCCACGATGGGCGGGGCCTAGGCAGCTAGCAAGTTGAGTGGAGCCACGGCTGACGTGAGTCAACAAAGGTCACGTGACCCGGGTCGGTCACACTGATTGGCAGCACCGACCGGGCGGGGAATGGGGGGGGTCACGGCGGCGGCGTGGGGTTCGCTCAGTGACACAATTACAACAACTTTGTGCTGGTGCCGGGGAAGTTTGTGTCTCCGGCGAATCCCCTCCGTGTCCCTCAGCCCCGCGCGCTCTGGCCATTCCCGCCGTCCCTGTCCGTGGCTGTCCCCCCGCTTGCCCCCGCGATGTGACCCTACAGCCGAGTCGCCGCCGCTGCCGACCCGGGGCTCCGCAGCCTCTGCCGCCGCCACCTTCGCCGCCACTGCGTTGGGGTTTTTTCGTCGCCGCAGCCGCCGCTCGCGGCGGAGGAGGAGACGGCGATAAAGTTGCGGTGCCGGTCCCGCGTGGACTGAGGACGTCGTCGAGGGTCCTCGCTTCGGGGGAGGGGGGCTCGGCATTGGAGTTGTGAATTCTCTGCGTTTCCATGAAATCCTGCGGAGTGTCGCTCGCTACTGCCGCCGCTGCCGCCGCCGTTTTCGGTGATGAGGAAAAGAAAATGGCGGCGGGAAAAGCGAGCGGCGAGAGCGAGGAGGCGTCCCCCAGCCTGACAGCCGTGGAGAGGGAGGCGGTCGGCGGGCTGGACAGGTACGAGCGGCCGTCACCAGCCCGGCCGGCTCCGCACGGGCTGGCGCTGCTCTTCCCGGAGGCCGCAGCGCGGCT